GGGGCGGGGGTGGGGGCAGACGGAGGGACGGATGGAGGGTCGTGGGAGCTCACCAGGTGGGCGGGGTGTTGGAGTCGGGGTGGGACCACAGCAGACAGAGCCTGCCCTCGCTGGATGGGGCCTGGGCAGTTCGGTTCTCAGGCTCCTGCTCGCTGCCCCCACCCCAAGCAGAATTAGTCCTGGAGTTGGGCGGGGTGTCTCACCTTGCTAATGTGGGGCAGGGGTGAGGGGGGCCTGGCCATCTGGGGTGTTCTCCTCTTGCCCCTTCCTTGACCTGACGGACCCTTCTGAACCTCTAGGGGCCACCCCATGCCCTCCGCGGTCCTGGGGTGCCCCTCTTCCTTGGATCTGGGTGCCTTCTCCCTCACCTGGGGCTCACCCTCAGCGGCAGTGGAGCGCCCCTGCCCCTCCGCGGCCTCTGGATGCTCCCCACCCCTCCCCAGGTCTGGGGCGCCCCCACTGCAGCCTTGGAATGACAGCTCCCCGGTTCTGGGGCGTCCCCCCTGCATCAGTGGGGTGCCCCCACTCCCTCCGCCGCCCTTGGGCGGTCCCCAACCGGTGCTCACCTGCGCTTTCCCACCAAGCCCTGGAGCAGACGCTGCAGCCGGGCGCTGTCTCGCAGACGGCTCAGCTCACTGGTGAACGCGCCGTCGGAATGTCGCGGGGCCCTGGGGAGACGCGGGGACGGGTCAGGGCCACAGGGCCTCTCCCGCCAGGAGGACTCAGGCCGACTGGGCGCGGGCTCACCTGGGGGCAGAGGGCCGCGCGGCCGGGCCCCGAAGCAGCAGCAGGAGCAGGAGGAGCGTGGCGCGCAGCACGGATGCCATGGCTGCAGGGCGCCTGGATGCGAGCGCTCACCCCGGGTCCCCAGCTCACGCCCTTTTATAGCCCGGGGTCGCTTGTGCGCTGGGGGGCCCTAGAGGCTTCCGCCTGGGCTCCAGGCTGCCGGGGCCCCATTGATCTAGCAAAAGGTCAGGGCGGCTTCCCCAGCTGTCTCCTGGCGACCGCCTGTCCCCTACGCCACGTTGGCGCCCCTTGGCTGTCTGGGGAGGTCTGGGCAGGTGCCTCCAGCTGCCAGGTGTAGAGGGTCCAGGTGAAGGGAGACTCTCTCGGCAGCGAGGTTGCCAAGGGTGGTCCAGGCCAGATCTGCCAGGCAGGAGGGTGGGGTGAGTATGAGTGGGGGCACCTAGCGCCCAGGGAAATAGACGGGTTTGGCTGGCAGGAGGGTGGCCAGGAGGCGGGACACAGTGACCTACAAGCCCGCCAAGAACATCTGGGCGACAGGTGGGCAGGGAGGCAGCTAGGATTAAACTGGCCCCTGGCGGTACATTTCGCTTTATTTGCCAGGGTCTGAGAGCCTGAGCCTGGAGAAGGCTGGGGCTGCAGGGGTTGAGGAGGGGGGCTAAGCGCTGAGCTGCCAGCCTTAATCAGTGCCCCAGCCTTAATCGATGCCCCAGCCTTAATCGATGCCCCAGCCTTAATCGATGCCCCAGCCTTAATCAATGCCCCAGCCTTAATCAATAACCCAGCCTTAATCAATGCCCCAGCCTTAATCAATGCCAGTCTCATTAAAATCGGACCAGCTGGCTCCCAGGAAGCACTTGCCCCAGAAATCCAGGAAATTCAGCACGTTTAAGCCGCCATTGTGACCACCCCACCCCAAACCTGAAGGTTTAGAAATTTCCGAAATGAATGAATTCCCGGTGGAATAATCCCCTCTGCCTTCAGCGAAGCCTCCCAAACCAAACGCGTCCCATCGGTCCCTGCGCTGGCAGAGCCTCGCATTCTGAGGCAGTTGGCGTTCAGTGAGATCAGTAAGATGCTGTCTCTGTTTTTACTTTAGTGAGCATTCTGGGACGTTGACTTTGGGAGGCGTGTGGAGGAGCTTATAAGCCACAGCCCCCTAAACCTGGAGCCTGCTCCCGCCCCTGGTGGCCGGGTGTACAGCCCTGAGACTCTTGTAAGGAGGTTCTAAAAGATGGTGTCATTCCGTACAATGTCCACCGCGGAGCCAAGGACCACACACAAAACAGCCCCTTTCCTGCTCTCTGGGTTTCCATGGTCGGGCGTCCAGGGGCAGCTTGGCAGGGCCTCCTGGGCTCCCGGAGCCTCAGTCCTGCTCCAAACCCTCAGGGTGGCTATCGGAGCAGTTCCCTTGCCAAGGCAGAGCTCCTGCTGCCTGGCTTCTGTGAGGCCACCGGGTGTCCCGGACTGCAGGCAGACCTAGAACACAGGTTTAGGGCAGGCCCTCCCAGGATAACGTCCTCTGACCGGCTTAAAGGGCTGCAGGCGGGCGTGTCTTGGTCATCACAGAGGTGGCACCAGTGGGTGTTTCTCGGACAGAAAGACATTTTCTTAGTTTACCCACATCAAAGAAGGCCCATGGCAGAGTCCACGGCCGCGATGACTCACTGCAGGAACCCAGTCTCCGGGGCTTTGCAAATCCTGAAGGGCCCTGACCGCCTCATCTTTCACCCTCGGAGTGGCCGGTGGGTTTG